GCGGGAGTAAGCGGAGGTGCTGGCGCCCCCCCCGAGTGGGTGTGGTCACGTTGCCCAGCAGTGGGCGGTGATTGGCCCTGGGCGGTGCATTCGCAGCTCGTGCGTCACGACGCCGCCAGCTGATCGGAGACTGGAGCCGGTGTGTGCTGGGCGATGGGAAGAGACAGAGCGGTCGGCCGTGCGGAGAGGACGCAGTGATTTTGCTCCCCTGTCCTCAGCAACCCCCACACCCAGCATCAGGTGGGTGTGATCTGGGGACCCGGTCATTCCGGGGGGAATCGCGGTAACAGGGTGATGGGGAAAAGTAGGGTCCTGGCGACCACACCCTGCCCTTCTGGGGGAGGGGAGAGGGGGCGGCGGGGACGGGGACGCTCCCGGGAGAGGGACCTGGACTGGCCCGAGTAGTGTGCCTGGACGTTTAAAGAGAGAGTCTCGGTCAGGAATCGTGGCAGAAGGTCTGGAGAGGTAATTGGGGGGGAAAGATGAGAGACCAGAGGGCTGGGGACGTCTAACCCCGACGCCCTCTGGTTTGAGGATCCGGGAGCTGACCATTTAGCCTGGGGAGAATCTGGGGGAGCGAGTAGTTTGAAGGAGGTGCATTGCTTCTACCGGCACTGACTGTGTCAGGGCCAGTTCAAGTCCCTGGCAGGGAAGGGGTCGCTGGGCGGGCCAGCCCCTCCTCTCGTTCCCTCCCGGGGATGTTATGTAAGGGGGGAGGGGAAAGGAGTAGGGGGCGGCGGTGCAGAGGCCTTATGCAACCCAAAGGTTAGGGTTTCACCGCGGTTGGGCGGAGGTTGGGGGGGCGGACAGGAGGAGGGCCTGGAAACTCTACCCCCAACCCCCCCCTCCAGCCTAACTGGCCGTCTTGGACAGAGAGAAGGTCACCTTTGCACCTCCCCCCAGTATGTCCGGTGGTGAGGCCCCTAGCCCCGGCTTGGCCATGACCGCCTGGGAAGCCGGCTGGCTGGGTGGGGCGCCTGGGTTAGTCATCGCTGGGCTCCCTCTCTCCCCACCTCCTGGCCAACTCTTGGCCCCTCCCCACGGCCTCCGGCTAGGCTAACGTCCCCACCTCCCTCTGGCCCTAGTTTCAGCCTCCAACTCATTTGGCCTGTCATCCTGGCTGTCAGAGTAGGCTAGAAGCTGTCGAGGTGCCAGAGGGTTGATGGAGCAGCTGGTCAGAGGGTCAGTGCCCTGGGCCCACCCCGCCCGGCAGCCAAGGGCACCTGCTTGGCACAAACTCTCAGCAGCCAATGAACCCTGTAGCTGAACAGAGCCATCTCGGGCAGAGAGAGGAGTGGACAGAAAGTGATCACCTAGGAGAAGGAAGATACCACAAAGTTTATGCTTCCCAAGAGGCTTTTTTGGAATTTGAAAATCGCCCACCCCACCATCATCTTTCCACTCCCTGAATATAGAAATCCCAAGGCACAATCTCCTTGGCCCCTCAATCTGGCAGTGGCCGTGCCCTTGGACTGACTGTGCGGAACCACCCTCTCCAGCTCACAGCCCTCTTAGCCTGCCACGCCCCCAGCCCCCTCCCTGGGCCATGCTGCAGGGCCCCGGCTTTTCCTGCTGATTCATGCGTTGGAACTGTGGGGGCGGGGCTTGGAACTTGGAACAAAGTTCAGACGTGGAGGGGCCGGCAGACAGCCTGGAATTCATACCAGATGTACCCGGAATGTGCAAGCGGAATGCCTGGCATCTCAGAGTCCTGAGGAAGCTGCCCAGCCACCCTGCCCATACCTCCCTCCCCTCCCGCCTTTGGTCAGCTGTCCTCTCCCTCATACTCCTCAGAGCCCCCGCCGACCTTCCAAACTCTAGCCCTCCTCCCCATTCTAATCCTCCACCGACCCTCCTTCCCGCTGAACTCACTAAGAGCAAGTCAGTTGAGCCAATCAATCTACTTTTTCACTTGGGACCTAGGTTCTAGACCCTGCCCTTTGAATGCTGAAGATGCTGGAGCCCTCAGCCGGTTGCCAAGGTAGCTAGTGCCTCCTGGTCTGTAAAGCGGGGCAAGAGACGTGCATTTAGAAGCCTCTTGCCTCTCACTCAAGAACCCCTCATTAGAAGGTATTGAAAGTCATGGAGAGCTAGTGGGTGTCCCCCAGCCCTGTTCTGAGCTCTCCTGTCTTTCTCCCTCCCGTTTAGGAACCTGTGCCTCCCACACCCTCACCTGGCTGAGCCGCAGTAGTTCTTCAGTGGCAAGCTTTATGTCCTGACCCAGCTAAAGCTGCCAGTTGAAGAACTGTTGCCCTCTGCCCCTGGCTTCGAGGAGGAAGAGGAGGAGCAGCTTCTTTGCCTACCTTCCGGAAGGTGACAGAACTGGGGTTGGGAAGGGCTGGACAGCCGGAGTGATGGCTTTAAGGAAAGGTGCCCCGGGGAGCCCTTACCCGCGCTGGCCCAGCCAGAGATCCAGGTTAAAGGCCCTGACTGAATTGGGGAATAGGTGGCCCCACCTCCCCAAGGTTAGCTGATCTCTGTGTGGCAATGGGAAGGAATGGAAGGAAAGTCTGCCTACCTGTTTACCAAGACTTCCTTGTAGGCCTGCCCTTCTTATCTCGCACCCTCTGCCCCAACTTTCCTTTCACATGAGGTCCCAAAGTAAATGTTCTCCCGGGGAGGTGACACCAAAATTCTGATCTAAGTGGTCACCCATGCGTTTACCTTTCTCTGTATCTTTTAGATTGGTCCAGACTTTGGATTTAGGGGTACTTACCTCTGTGGGGACCCTTACACCTGTCTACTTCTCCATCTGTGAAATGGGGAGTCCCATAGATGAGCAGGCAGGAGGGCATCCGAAGTCCACCTGTGCTGACTCAGAGCCCGGGCTCTTCTCTTTCCGTGGGTGGAAACAAGACGGCTCTTCCTGTAAACTGCTCTTCCTCCCCCACCCCCGGACTACACACCCAGCTCTGGGGGAATGGGGTGGAGGGAAAAGTTAGGGTTAAGACCGGTGTAGTGGGAGGCTAGTCCTATGCTGACTTCTCATCATACAGGGGTGACCCAAGGTCTCCCCTCCACCCCCAAGTAAAGACTGCAGCTCCTGGTTGGGCCCCAGCAGCCACTGCCATTTATTTTCTGCCTTTGCTTTCCAGGATAGTAAGACTCAGCTCAGTGCTGTGCAGGCCAGAAATTGTCTCCTCCAGCCATCGGGGAGACGGGTTGTAACGATAGGACCTCCTTCTGCTGCCTCTAGCTCCTGAGACATGCTTGGGCTTGGGCTCGGGCTGTGGTTCACCTTTGGCCCAGTCTCCCTACCAGAAGATGGGGTTCAGGGGCTACAGGAAGCTGTTTGTTCTGTTGGGCAGGAGAAGGAGGAGTCGTCCTAGCCTATTCTCATTTATGAGAAACTGAGTCATAGGGGAGACTAGACCACAGAGGCCAGCCCCGCTGCAGCCTGAGATGAGGGTAGGATGTGTAAGGGCCTGCAGCTGAGGCGGGTGGGGAGGCCGAGTCTGCTCGGACCCTGCAAGAAGATTGCTCTGTCCCTCCACCCTGCCTTCCCCTCTTCACGCCACTGGCCACAGTGCGTCTCTCCAGCACTGGGTCATGGCTCTGCTATCTTCACCCAACATGGAGCCTCAGAGGTGAGGAAGGGCAGCCCGGAAACACAGAGGCAGGCAGAAGACCAGTGAAGGACCTGGCCTGGAGCCGCCACAGGGGCCTGTCCCAGACATTGGTCCGAGGGGCACACAGAAGCCTGGTGAACACCAGGAAAGAGAACAGCCAGCCTCCGTGAAAGACAAGCTTCCAGCCATCTCCTCTCCAGACCTGCCTCCCTTGGAGATGAAGACCCATAATGAAGTATGGTCCTGTCTCTTCTCTACCCTGCAGTTTCTGTATAACCACCCTGGAGGAGCATGAGCCACCTCTGAAAGGAAATACAGAGCAAATTCAAAGAGAGACTCAAATGGGTGACACTGGAAAAACATAGCTTTGACTGGGGCTCTAGCTGAGGTGGGAGAATGCTTGTTCAGCTTGCACGGAGCCCTGGTTCTGTCTTTACATTGCCTAGAGCTGGGTGTGGCAGCACAGGCCTATAATCCCAGCACCCTGGAGGTGGTGGTAAGAGGATCCTACATCCAAGGTCATCCTCTGCTACACAGTGAGTTCTGAGCCAGCCTGGACTACGTGAGACACTTGTCTCAAAAAAAAAAAAAAAAAACAATCAAAAGAAGGCTGACATTGCTGAAAGCATGTCCCCTCATCATGGTATAAGAGGTCAATAGAGGCCAAAGGAACACGCCCATACGTTGTGGGTAGTGGCGTCAAACATTGTAAGAGATGTCTTTTGGCCTTGTAATTTTGTGTTCCAGAAATGTATCTTAAAATCAGAGTTTGGTTATAAAATGCTCATCTCAGGGATAATGTCTGGAAATCCATTCTTTTTTTGCTGTTTGGAAATCTATTCTTTTTCTGTTGTCATGAAAATTCGCAGTGGGGGGTTGCTTGGGTGAATTATATTCATCCCAGTGGTGGAGTACTGCACAGCCATCCAGAGTCCTGCAGAAGAAAAATTGATTGGAAAGAAAAATGCCCTTTGAATATTAAAGAGATTATAAAAAGTGTGAGTTTTGTGACTTTAATTTTGTCTTTAAACAATTTGTTTTAAAATATGAGTGCATACTTGTAATACATAGACTAAAAAAAAAAAGACTCAAAGTAGACTCAAAATGTTAGGAGTGGTTATTTTTGAATGGTGGGATAGAGCAATTGTGAATTTCCCCCTTGTTTTCCCGTCATTCTAAGTTTTCTATACTAGTTGTATATTGCTTTTGCATGTTAAATAAATGATAGCAAAAGATAAATGTGATTTTTAAAATTTTTACTTTTTTATGTGTATGAGTGTTTTGCCTGCATGCATGTATGTGCACCATTCTTGTGCCTGGTGCTCCCAGAGGCCAGAAGAGGGCTTAGAACCTCTTGGAACTGGAGTTGGACTATTTTGAGCCACCACATGGGTGGTGGGAATCGAACATAGGTCCTCTGCAAGAGCAGCCAGTGCTAACTTCGGGGCCATCTCTTCATCCCCTCTACGTAATTTTGAAAAGATTTATATTGTGTGTCTGTGTGGGGGTATGGGCACCTGATGTGGGTGCCTGCAGAGCCAGGAGAGAACATCACATTCTCTGGAGCTAGAGTTACATGCTGTTGTGAGCTGTCTGATGTGGATGTGGGGAATTGAACTCAGGTCCTCTAGAAGAGGTGCAAATGCTCCTAGCCACTAAAGCCATCATCTCGTCAGTCCTTGAGGTAATTTTTTTAAACTTCAGAGAATTGGATGTAGGAGGATGGGCTGTACCTAATGCCTTGGTGAAAACGTTTGTTTGGGGCACCTATTGCTTCGTGAACGTGTGTGTGTGTGTGTGTGTGTGTGTGTGTGTGTGTGTGTTGCTGGGAATCACACCCAGGGCCTTGTTCAAGCGAAGCAGGTGCTCACCACATTGAAGTCAGCCCTGTGAACTTCTTTCTTTAGTTGGCTGAATCCACCCACTTGCTCTGCATACAGGAAGCATTCCTCCGACTCCTGGCTGTCAGCCAGCTGAGGAGGTGTGGCTCAGAGTAAGAAAGAAGGAAAATGCTCAAACCAGTCACTCCAGGGAATTTGGGGTTGGAGAGGATGTTCCTTAAAGCCAAACCAGTCTCGAATCGGAACAGGCTTATAGTGTTGTCACCGTGGGTGTTTATCTCTTGGGTCGGCCTTTTTCTTGAGGCCTGGGGAGGGAAGGAGGATGCATTTCAGGTATGTGGTAGTAGTGATTCCCATTTGCCTTCCCTGCCTAATAAAGATCCCCAATGGGGGGGGGGAACTTGGGAAGAGATCCCCTAAGACTGCTCCAAAGGGAGTGGGGAGCGCTCTTTGGTTTGGGAAGTACTATGTAAGAGAATGACAGGTGGGCCGAGGGCACCTCTGCCTAGCTAGCCATGCTCTCAGGTAAAGGTGAGGTGGTGCAAGGCGTGGGCCCTCAGGGGTTGGCTGCTCTAGCCTTTGGGGCTGTGGGTAAGGATGACCAGTAGGTGAGAGATGAGGAAACCAGAGCAGAAGGTGAAAGTTAGTGGGCGGAGCCCCAGACCTGTCAGGTAAGGCTTAGACTAGATCGCTTTCTGGAACTCTGAGGGGTTTGGAGACTCGCGGCGTTGGAAAAGACTTCTAGTGTTGTGCAGGAAGGGGGTCTGAGCTCGGTTGCCGGACTTGATGCCCGGGAGCCCCCAACCGGCTACCCCCAGGCAGGGGCGGGACGCCATCATCTCGATGGCTCCACGGGCGGTGGCCCCACAGCTGAACCAATCACTGCCCTGCCGAGGGATAGGGGCGTGGACAAGCAGGGGAAAGTTACAACAGGTTGGCAAGGCAAGGCAGGCGAGGAAGCCCCCGGCACAGCTCCGTGGAAAAGCCAGATCCCGACTTCGCCGGGGCACTGTGAGGTCCGGTCCACCAGGCACGGGGATCGAAGACACAAACTGAAGCCTAGCTGACCTGCCAGACCATGGCATCCTGGGGACTCTTTGTGGCTGGCGCCTCCTTCGCGTCATTTCGGGGGCTGCACTGGGGACTGCAGCTGCTGCCCACCCCGGAATCTACTCAGGACAGCTGGATGTGGCGGAACATTTTCGTTTCGCTGATGCATAGCCTACTCTCTGGATCAGGGGCGCTGGTCGGGTGCGGAACTTAGAGATTGACGAAGCACTGAGGGGTGGGGGTGGAGATGAGGGCGTGGAAGACTGAGGTCGGAACGCTGGGTGGGTACCTCTTAGAATAGATAGATTCGAGGTCTTCCAAGTCTGGAGCTGGGTTGAGTTGCAGGCGGGTGGAGTACCCAGGGGAAGGCTGGATCTAGGTCTTGGAGAAATTGACCTTAGCCCCCCCATCTTCCCCAGGCTGTGGCTTTATCCTCAGATGGTCACCGACCCGATTCATGGCCACCCACCGTGGGCAGTGGTCCTGGTAGCGGTATCAGTGGGTGAGTGTACAGAAAAAGCTGGGCCACGGAAGGCAGCGTGGAAACGGGAATTCTAGGTCCCTCCCCCGCTTTGGAATGGAGCAGATGTTGCTGGAGGTTTGCTGTGAGGGATTAAAGACCTGGGAAAAGTGGGACTTGAGACACCTCTCTAGGCTGTGCACCAGCGAGGAGCTGATGCACAATCCTCCCCCATGCCCACAGGTTATTTCCTGGCGGATGGAGTTGACATGCTGTGGAATCAGACTTTGGCGCAGGCCTGGGACCTTCTCTGTCACCATGTGGTGGTGAGACTGAAAGGGAGACGCCAGACAGACAGAAAGGAGGCACTCCCAACCTCCCTTCAGCCTTCTGTCCTCTGACTTTCCCACCAAGTCCCCTGAAAACCTATCTTCCCCGTCTTGGACTGAACTGGAGGGAGGTTTTGGCTGCTAGCCACAGTTTGGAGTCTGGGCATTATTACCCAAGGAATTTGGATCCCCCACAAACATCCAGCTGGTCATGAAAACACGGGTACAGAGTTTTGCTGAGAGGGAGGAGTCATGGTATAGGATGTGGGAATGAGGCAGAAAAGGCCAGGAATGGAAGCTGGAGTGTGTTATGCAAATAGCGTAGCTCCAGGGTAAGACAGGCTCTGGGTGAAGGCTGCTCCTAGATGCGTCCTAGATAAGGGTCCGCAGAAAGGTCAGGTTTGGGGGGAGTCCTACAAAATGCTTGTGCATCCCCAGTATAGAGATTAGGCTGGCGGGACTTGGCGGGCACAGGTCGGGCAAAGGTCTGACTTTGAACCTCACCCCCAGGTCGTGAGCTGCCTCAGCATCGCCGTTCTGTCGGGCCACTACGTGGGCTTCGCCATGGTATCTCTGCTTCTGGAGCTGAACTCCATCTGTTTGCATCTGCGGAAGCTGCTGCTGCTTTCCCATAAGGCCTCGTCCTTGGCCTTCAGAGTAACCAGCTGGGCCACCCTGACCACTCTGGCCCTCTTCCGCCTTCTACCTCTAGGGTGGATGACCCTCTGGTTGTTTCGGCAGCACTACCTGGTGCCTCCTGCTATGGTCATCCTTTGTATAACTGGGCTGGTCACTGTGGGTACCATGAGCATCTCACTGGGTATCCGAATCCTGATCAGGGATGTCTTGCAGTCTCGGCCCAACTCATTTATCGTCGTGCACAAGGAGATTCGGCAGATCAAGACGCATGATGGTGAGCCTGTCACCAGGAACAATTCCACTCTCAGTCTGAAAGACTAGAGAAGCAGAGGCTTCCTCTTCTGTCAGCCCTGGGGGGCTGGGGCCGGGAAGAGGAGATGGTAGCCTTCACTGCATAGTCTACTGTGTAGCAAGGGCTAGACTGTATTATCAGCATCTCAGGACCTTTTCCAGCTAACTCACTTCTCTCCCCTTCCCAAGACCCAAGAAGAAATGTGAATGTTAGTGGCTTCGTGGGAACCTAGATTACCGCTCAGTGAATTCCTTTGCTCCAGCGTAAGGACAGACAATGGGACAGGAGGTCCTTCTAGAGTCAGGGAGACCTCATTTATGATCAAATTCTGGCGGTGAGATGAGAGCCCAAGAAACATTATCTGTTGCCAGGAGGGATGGGCATGGCAGTTGCCAGGGACAGACAGAAGCCAGGCCAGTGCAGTTGTTGCTGATACCTCCCATCCTCTGGGTCAGACTGCAAGTACTAGGATTGTACTCAACCGTACTCTGCTGCACACAGCCTTTCTAATACTTACGTATCTTCTGACCTTTTTAAAGAAATGTAAATTCTTAGATGAACATGGTGTCTCTCCTAAGGCAGCACAGAGCAAGGAGCCACAGAAGAGACTGAACCATCTGGACTGGATACCCAGTGTGATCACCCAGTGCAAAGCTTTTGAAGGCTCTGGGTTGTGCTGAGCACTGAGGCAGAGGCCAGCAGGGGAGAAGAGCCAGAGGGGCAGGATATCTGACTGACCCTTTTCTGGAGTCCTTTGAAGGCTCTCTCCTCCCTATCTCCACAGCTAGTCTCCTATTGCATGCAGGTCTCCTCCCTTTCTAGTCTGAACGTCCAGGTTACAGGAACTGTGGAGCAGATTAGGGTTACTGTTGTATTGAACAGTAAAGTGATAACCCCTTGGCCGGACGGTGGTGGCGCACACCTTTAATCCTAACATGCAGGAGGCAGAGGCAGGCAGAGCTCTGTGAGTTTGAGGCCAGCCTGGTCTACAGAGTGAGCTCCAGGACAGTCAGGGCTACACAGAGAAACTCTGTTTTGAAAAACGAAAAACCAAAACCATAAAAAAAAGAAGAAGAAGAAGAAGAAGATGAGGGAGAGAGAGAGACAAAGAGGATGAGGGAGACAGATGTGCACAGATAGCGGTCTCGGTAGAAGAGAGAAAGATTAAACCCCATAGAGAAGCCAGGCAGTGAGAACTTGAGGGCAAGAAGACCAAAGCTTCAGCAGACATATTGAAAAAGCTTGTTACAAACAAAAAGCTTGTTACAAAAGCTTGTTCTACATATTGAAGAAGCTGAGAGGAGCCAGATCATAGTGTTGATGGAATGATCACCAAGAAAGCAGGAAAAACAGGAATAAAAGAGGACAGAAAGGGACCCCAAGAGAGAAAGGCCCAGCTAGTCTAGACATCAAAACATTGAAAGCAGACTCAGGAGAGACGGAGGTGGTAGTGGCCAATGGAGAAACTAACAGAGTAAGAGAGAGGTGGAGATGGAGAAGAGGGGGAATCAGAGAGGGGACCCAGAAGCAGGGGCAGAGGCCGGAGAGGGGTTGCTGTATAGAAACAGGAAGTACGAGTTGAGCTGGAGATGGGCAGCTGCAGCGAGAGGCAGACAGGCTGACAGCGACAGGGAGGCAGAGCCTGGGGGGAAGAAGGGGTTGAGTCTTCAGAGGTGCAGTGAGACAGAAGGATAGGGCAGGGCAGAGGAGAACCACGGGGGTGGGGACAGCATGTACAGCAACGAGGCAACATCCAGAAGGAGCGAGGGAAAGGAGGAAAGAAGGGATGGGGAGGGAGGGGGGAAAGAGAATGAGAAGCAAAGAGAGAATGTTGCATGAGAGCTCCATTGCAGTCAGAAAAACAGGAGCAAAGCAGAGAAAATAACGAGCAAAGACTGGAGCCTGGCAAGGTGGCTGGCACATGCTGATAATGCTAGTGCTTGGGAATGACAAGCAGGAGGATCAGGAGTCCAGCCTGGGCTACATGAAATCCCGTCTCAACACACAAACCAAAGCAGAAAAAATTGGACATGGCAGCTGCAGCATGACGGAGCATTCTTGAGGTCCTGGGTTCAATGCCCAGCACAAAGAATTTTCCTTTTTTTTTTTTTTTTTTTTCTTCTTTTTTTTTTTTTTTTTAATGTGGGTTTTGGCAGGTGATTTGTTTGATATGGGTCTGGTCACCAGGGTAATACCATGGCCAGGTGAAGTAGTCCTCGAGACTGACTCCACGCTTGCCCAGTCATTTGCTGAAAGACTGTCTTCCAGCGGAGGAGAGGAGCGCCACTGGGGAGAGAACATTGAGATTTTAGGTCTCAGAACACTATCCTTATTATACAGGAATAAATTGCTATGCAAATGATTTCATTAGTCTATTGTGAGTGTGATTGCTTTGAGTCATTTCTCTTGGCTCCAGTGGTATCCTGGTTTGCAATATGGTGTGGGTTGTGGAGGCTTTGACTTGGGAAGGCTTCCTGTTACTGATTTCTCTGCCTCTCCTTCCCCTCCGATTCTCCCCCTCCCTCCCCCCTCTCCCTTTTTCTCTCTCTCTTTCTCTATCTCTCTCTCTTTCTGCTTGTTTTGTGGGTTTTGTTGCTGTTGTGTGTTGGGGGTGGGGTGGGGAAGTTGTATTGGATGTCGTGGAGGCTGGCATTGAATTTTTCCTGATCTTCCTGCCTGTACCGCCTAGGACCTAGTCCTGTGAGTATGGAAGTGTACTGCATACCAGGCCAGGCTAGCACATTCTCTTTGTGACCTACAAATAACTGAAGTGTTATTAGATCCTCCATGCCCAGAAAACAAACCTCAGAGCCAGGGCGATGTCTCAGTAGATAAAGATACTTGCTATCAGGACTGATGACGTGAGGTTTTTTGTTTGTTTTTGCTATTGTCTTTTATTTTATTTTATTTTTTTAGCTCTGGCTGCCTAGAACTCCATAGATCCGCCTGCCTCCACCTCCCAAGTGCTATGATTAAAGGCACGCGCCACACTTGGCCTAATAACCTGAGTTTGATCCTCAGGGCCCACATGATGGGAGGATAGAACAGACTTTCACAAATTCTCCTCGGACTTCCTCATGTGCACTATGGCGTGAGTCCTCCTTCCCCAAAGGGGAAAACAAAACAAAACAAAACAACACAAATGTAAGAATTTGAAAAAAAAAAAAAAAAAAAGAGCAAGCCCAGGGCCTGTGATGGTGGTTCAGAATCAAGGTGCCGTCTACCAAAACTGACCACCCAGTGAAGAGTGAGAACCGCCTCCCTCAGGTTATCCCTTGACCTCCACAGGCACATCACACACATGTGTACCTACACATACACACCACCAAGAAATAATAAAGAAATACACCAAGAAATGTGAGGACGTTTTAATATTAAAAATTATTTTTAAAAGAGCAAATCTAACTAGGCCTGAGGACACACTTGTAATCCTAGCCCTTAGGAGGCTGAGATAGAAGGATGAGGAGTTCAAGGCTAGCCTCGGGTATGTGATACGTTCAAGACCAGCCTGGGCTACAGAAAAACAGAGAAGAGAGTAGAGGGAGAGAGGAGGAGAGAGGGGGGTAGGGGGAGAATGGTCAGCAAAGACTCTGGAAAAAATGAAACTCAAGGGAAAACCCCTCAGGTTTACTTAAGTGAGGAGGAGTAGAGTTGAGAGTGAAGAGCTCCAGAATGGAAGAGTGGAGAGAGGAAGACCAGTCCGTTCAGATGAATTACCTCCGAATGGCATCTCCACGTCAGGATGTTTCACTTTGAAAGTCAGCCAGACCAGTCAGCAACTATCGATTTCTGCACTTTTCAAGACTGCAGTCTCTGCCCAGCTTTCCTCTGCAGACATGCCAGCCACTGATGTTGGCACTGTTGAGCAGTATCTGCCTTGGGTCTGGTAGATCACCACACACCTTCTTCAGGATCTGGACACAGACGTGACTCTCAGTCTCAGGGAGTCTTTCTTTCTACAGAGATAAGAGTACAAGCCCTGTGTGCTTAGAGGATAACATGAGGGTCCCTGGAAAGGGCTCCCTGCCTGCCACCACCGAAAACACAAACCTTGGGATAACATCTGACATTCCAGGGAATAAGTGTATATATGTAGGATGTAGCCCTGGCTCTCCTGGAATGCACACTATAGACCCGGATGGCCTCAAATGTCAGAGATCCATTTGCCTCTGCTTCTCAAGAGCTAGGATTAGAGGGGTGTACCACCATACTTGGCTCGTGGTTTATTTAGTTTTATTTTATGTGTATGAATATTAGCATGCTTATATCTGTGTACTTCATGTGTGCACCTGGTGCCCACAGAGGCCAGACGAGGGGGTTGGTTGCATCCCCTGAAAATGAAGTCATGAACAACGGTAATCAGTCAGTGAGGTGCTGGCGATGAAACTCAGTTCGTCCACAAGAGCAGTAGTGCCTTATCTGTTGAGCCATGTCTCCAGCCTCAGATTTCTCGGTTAATCTTTGCCCTCTCACTCAGCCCCACCTGCTCATGCCCTTGAGAGAACTACTTCATCTCCTTGACCTTCACCAGCCGATGGTGCCAGTCCTGGTGGCTGAGAGACATGCAGATCCCAAGTTCAGGCAGTGCAAGAGGAGGCCAGATAAGCCCTTGGAGCTGGAGTGCCACAGACTCACCTGTTCCCTTCAGCCACTTGTCTGAGTATACTTTGCCCCAACCTCCTGCCCTTCCTTCCTCCTAAATCTAAATCTTTGCCCAATCCAAAGGTGCCCCTCCCCCACAGTAATCCAAGTGATGCCTGGGACCCTAGGGAGTTGGGAGAGAGAAATTTGCGCAGTTTAAGGCAGCTGCAGCAGTATTTCTTTACTGTATAATGAATCGTAAAAATTCATGCCAGGGCTGGGCAGTGGTGGTGCATGCCTTGAATCCCAGCACAGCCGGGCAGATCTCTGTGAGTTTGAGGCCAGCCTGGTCTACAGAACAAGATCCCAGACAGGCACCAAAACTACACAGAAAAATCATGTCTTGAAAAATTAAAAAAAAAAAAAAATCATGCCAGGTGGTGGTGGTGCTCATATTTAATCCCAGGACTCAGGAGGTAGAGGCAGACAGATCTATGCGAGTTCTAGGCCAGCCTGGGATACAGAGTGAGTTCCAGGACAGCCAGGGATACACAGAAAATGGGGGGAAATTATTGTTTCCTTTGCTGTGCAGCAACTTTATTTTCAGGTAGTCATGTCTGTTGAGGATGGCTAGTTTCTGTGCTGTTGATGTTTTATTCAAAAAGTTCTTGCATACACCAATATCTTGAAGGGTATCCCTTATGTTTTCTTCTAGAAGTTTCAGTGTTTCCGGTTTCAAATTAAGGTCTTTGATCCACTTTGAATTGGTTTTTAAAATATTTACAAACTGTCCAGCACAGCTACCCGGTACTGTGATCTAAGGAAGCGTCATCGTCGTCTTACTTTGTCATTCCAAGTGTTCCCCTTTTAGCAAATATTTATAAAGGACCCACTAGGTCCCAAGCAAACAGGGCGAGGTATAATAATGAGTAAATGAGCCCGAGCCCTGGCCTCAGGAGCCCGCAGTCAGCATTTTGTTAAATTGGGTAAGTGGGATTCACTCAGAGGACAGAACGAGAATGATGGATATAGACAGGTGATCCAAAGGCCCAGTAGCCTGGGAAGGAGCGGACTGCCTACGGAGGGTAGGCTTGTTGCATCCTGACATCCAAGGGGATGGCAGAACTTCACTCAGTACCTTTCCACCCAAGCCTGCACCCTTTCCAGAATCTTCCAGGCTGCACATAGCAACTACCTTAAACTCCTTATGTAAATTAGGAGCACAGGCCTCCTCTAGCTATCCCTCCCTATAGACCCTACACACATGTGCAGTTAATCATCAGGCTTAGAATGGCTCTCACATCCTTTCCCCTCCCCCTTTCCATCTCTGCTATCCCATCCTCCTTTGAATAACCATCAGTTCTAGCCTGGTGACAATGGCAGCCTTATAGACATTCTCCACACAGTCTGTGATTGTTAGAAAGTCAATCT